ACTGTATTTTATACATGGATGGAGAGGAATCGGGTCATTTTCGTTTCATTGAAATGCGCAGGACACCTCTTTTAATTTTCTTTTAATTGCAGAATGGGCCACGTTAGCAAGGCAGAAACTGGGTGTTCTCCAATGGAGCCAAAATAGGATTTATTTGTGCTTTAAAGTTGAGCATACCATGGTAGGGTTGAGAATTGTTCTTCATCCATCCCAAACAGCTGAATTGCATCAGATTAGGGATGGCTTTCACTTCTAAAACAGAGCTTATAAACCTTCCCCATTTTGTAATACTAGTGGGTTGGCATTTATATCAGACATGGGCAATATACTTTGTTCTGGGCAGCAGGCTGCCTTTTGCCTGTGGCAGGAGGAAAATTATAAGAGATGTCATCCACATGTAAATGAAATGAAAACAACGAGATTCCTCTCCATTCATGTATAAAATGCAGTATAATTCGGGATCAACTTTTGGAGAGTTTCAAGTGCACTCTGAAATTGCAAATTGCCAGTTTACAAGTCGCAGAACGAAGAAATAGGTTAGATTGTACAATTGGGGGCTACAAAGACCAAGGACAATGTTTAAAAATGGAGCAGCCATTCTTGCAAACAAATGCGAATTGTGTTTCTTTTAAAGCAGAGGTGAAGACAGATAAAGCAGGGGAAAAAAATAGAGATAAAACTCAGAAAACTGGGACTGTCTTTGTAGACAGTTCAAGAAAGATAACAGGGGTTTTTTTTTTCCTTCCAGAAAATTCCTCTTCATGGTAAAAAAAGAAATTTAAACATGTTACTATAGCTCAGATTTACAGTCTGGTAACGGTCACCTGAATAATGCAGTGTATTTCTGCTTGTTCGGTTGTTATGGGTACAACATGCACGAGAAGTGGCCACAGAAAAGGTCTCTCAATATAAATATTTCTTCGCAAGAAAGATTGTTATGACTAATAGGCATCAAAAATTAAGACAAGGCAGCAGACAATATGTAACCAGCCGAAAGAAGGAATGCATACCAATAAACTTTCTTTGAGATTTTTGTGCTTCTCTTTTTAAAATTTATTTTGAAATGGTATTTTGTCTGCAGGCACTTCAATTGCAACTATTATGGACACAGTGAAAAATAAAGACATAAATTCCTTACGACGTTATCACCCAAACGTATTTTGTCTCGTAGTGAGTCTGAAGATAATGGCTAAACCATCTCTTCTCGAGCTCCTGTTGGATCAGATAAATCAAGCTTAGGAAGGACAGGGCATACGGGCTGTGTATGAGAGGGGGATAGGGAAGGAATTTATGTAATTCTCAGAAGCTGGTATCTGGAGACTGTTTGGAAAAAATGGAAAACAATGGGAGGTGAAAGGAACTTACAATGTTCTCATGGTAGCTGGGAGAAGCAAAAAGTGATAGGAACAAAGAACAAAGAGGGAGAAGAAAGAGAAAGGAACTTATGGCACCCTAGCTCAGAAAAAGAAAACTTTATGAAAATGCTTAGTTCACCTGATGACTTTCCATTCTTTGATTTTCAAAGGATTTCAGAGTTGTCACCAGTTTCTCAAATGAACAGAAGGTCTTCAGAGCAACCCAAATGCAGCACCTTTCATGGGTGAAGAATCCAGGCCACCACGGAAGTGACCTACATCTCTCAGAATCCACTCATGAGATGGTCCCTTCTTTGAAGAACAACTATCTTTGGAGCCTCAGGAGAAGTTTGGGGAGATGAAAATCAGGGTGAAAAATCTGTGACAAAACTCTTGCACTATTCAAGTGATGGAAAAACACAGGTGGTCCTCAACTTCCAACAGTTCATTTAGTGGCCGCTCAAAGTTACGACGGCACTGAAAAAAAGTGATATGACTTTTTCATGCTTACGACCTTTGCAGCATCCCCACAGAGTCACATGATCCAAATTCAGATGCTCATGTTCAGTTCCCAGGCTATGTGTGTTGTGTGAATATATAGATGCTGCATGTTCACAGGTAGTCCGTCATGCCTCCCCACTGAAGCATCCAATCCCTTTTCCCCACAAATACTGGCAAGCAACATTAGCACATGTGCAGCCTTGTGGCTTTGTTCTCCTGTCGAGGAATGTGTACACTCTGTGCTTTTTCATTGTTTAAATCTCTTTGTATGTGTCCTGTACATGGTTCCAGTTATATAAAGCTCTCAGGTCTCCTTCCAGGGCCACCTTCTGATGCTCTCCAGCCTATAATCAAAACATTCAGAATTACGTAGCTAATAGAAACGACTGAAAGCCGGGGCGAAGCAAAAATTGGCATTTAAAAGCACCCTTGCTGTGTCTGGCTTGGCCTAGGTGTTTGTGAAGACTTTCCTTTTGGAATTAAGTGTTCCCGCAAAACGAAAACAAAAAAAAAATGGGGCCTGTGTACGTGTGTTTGTGTGTTCATTGAGGAGTTGGAGGAACGCAACAGAAGTCAGGCTGAAGTTCTCTCATCCTATCCAATTGTCCCATCTTGGAGTCACAAGCAGGCCAGCTCTCTGTGTCCGAGCAATGCCAACGTTGGGGAGATCTTTGCAACTGATATTGTGGCCTTATTTACATTTCAGTGCTTTGTTGCGGTAGATTTCTTCGGTGAAAGGCCTAGGAGAGGGGAATGGGAGATGGGGTGAGGGAACAGGCATCAGGGTTTGGTGGGAAAGGAAACAAGAAAAGAATGGTGAATATTCAGAGGTCCCACTGCCACGGCCATGTCTCTCTCATCCCATCTAGATCAATGTTCTCAAACCTTAGCAACTTTAAGCTGTGTGCACTTCAGCTCCCAGAATTCCCAGTTGAAATCCAGATAGCTTAAAGTTGCTGAAGTTGAGAAACACTGGCCTAGATCCCTCCCTTCTTCCATGGGCAAAGAGTTATTCGTAACTGTAAAAGAACAACTGGTGAGGTAGGGAGATCTCTACCTCTGTCCTCCTTCAGTCTCTTTCATGTCCTGTGAGAAAACTTTGCAAGAAAAACTGTAAGCAGATTAAAAATTTCCATTTGTCAGTGGAGGGAATTCCTAAGTACCAACTCATTGAACATCTGACCTCATTTTATCATGCTGAGAGGGGGGTGGGTCTCCAGGTATAAAGTAGATCTCGTTCTCCATTCTCTACTGAGATCCCTTTGAGGGAATGCTTGGAACCTTCTTCCATAAAAACCACACAAAGCCATCATCTGTTCTTTAAATATCTATGGAGATTCCCAGTCATCCAGGTCATGGTTGTCCTGGGTGACTTTTTGGAAAGACAAGTGGACTTTCTTTTTCCTTGAGGACGTTTTGTTTCTTGGGTGAGAAGTGAACGGCCTTCAAGGAGAAACAGAGTCCAGTTGCCTTTCAAAAAAGCCCCTTTGGGATTTGTCCTTTAAGCAACTGCTTTCTAGCAGAACCTGCTTTCTATCCATAACTATCTCTTTGGATGAACCAGGTCTACCTGGGATGTGAGAAGGACTATCATCAGCTGGAAACAATATGCCGTGGGCTGTTTTGGCATACTAGACTAATGTTCTGCTATTGAGCAACGTCAGTGAATCTCCTTGGACTTTGATCAGTGAGACAGACGTTATTGATCAACTGAGCTTGATCAAAAGACAGAACCCATAGTGGAACTAAACCCAAGTTCAGAGTTGAATAGGTTTGAACATCATCTATAGCATCCAAGCACACAGTAAATGACACAATTGACATAGCCCTTGAAGATGCTTGTTCCACTCTTCAGGTTGATTGGCATTTAGCCACCATGCAAGGAAACGCACAGAGTGTGGCCATCTCAAGGCCCTGCATGTGCCTCAGAAGAACCCAAGGTAAACCTCCCCTTCCTTTTGTGAATCTCTTTAGAATGAATGACCTGGAAATATTCATAACTGCTAACATACGATTAACTCAGCTGGAGAGGCTTAATTCTAGGTTTGTGTGGGTACTGGAAAATTCATCAACACGTCAATGAAACTTGCAAAACACAAGGTTTCTTGGAAAAGTTGGACCACACATTGTTATGTACGTTATATATGTTCTCGGTGGCGAGTTGTTCCCATCAGGAGTTTCAACTGACCAAATGAAACATCAGCCCCAGGTTGGTCCAACCCAGATCCACCTGTTGGTCCAACTCTGGAAAAAACAACCTCAGGTGTAAGCATTGGAATGGCCTTGATTCTCCAAACATCTAGAATGCCTCAGTCTCGTTGACCCAAAACAAATTTATCATTTCAAGGCAGAAAATCAAAAGATAGGTCTGAACCTATACTGAGTTGAGGGGTCTGAAATGCCAAATTAAGAATGATTTAAATGACAAAGAAACTACTTTAATGTTGAATTTATTAACTGCAGCAACGTTATTAGTAGGCTCATACTGGAAGAAGGATTCATTGCCTAATTTAGAAGAATGGATATTTAAAGTTTCTGACTTTGCAGAAATGGCAAAAAATTCTGCTTATTTGAAGGATCATACACAAGAAAGATACATTATTGTATGGAGAAGATGGATAGATTATATTCAGAAAAAATATGGGACTATAAAGTTTCATTTACTTTATGAGTAAATTTTATAGTAACTGTTAAAAAAAAAAAAATGATTTTCTTCTCAGCTAGGTTCTGAAAGCAAAAGGTGACAATCTCTTTTCTAAGTAAGATGTTCCCCACTACAATTTGTATCAACCCCAACCTGCATGTCCAAGGCTGAATATTATGGAAAAATGCCAGTGAAAATATCTGGAGAACAATCCTAGATTTGATGACCAGGGTAGACAATACCAAATCGCCACTCTGAATCACAGCCCATATTAACTCTGCTGGGAAAACACAGCAAGTAGGTTAACTGAAGGCAAGGAGGAGGGGGAAAAAACACAATCCCCTTTCTCAACACAATTCCCTGAAATGAAATCATGCCTCATTATTTTTTTCATCCTGCACAGAAGCAACTCACCCTTCGTAGAGCAGAGCAGTTGTGTAGCACAGAGCCACCACCACGGTCAGGACGAGACCCACTGGGCTGGCGTTCCTGATTTGAAAAGTCAGAAGAAGAGAACAAAAGTTGGGAAGACAAGAGAAGGCTGAGTCAGCAAGAGAGAAACTGAGGCCCCCCTCCCCCCAATACTTGGGAACTTGCCTGTCCACAGGCAAACTAGGCTACTCGGTCAAATGTTGCTGGCTTTTTTTGAACAAAAGAAGAACAATGTCAACAAAAAAATTATGCTGACCTAATTGAGTCATAGCTCAATTAGGAGCTATGGAGGATGGTGGGTATCGGCTGCTTTGGCTGTATTGAATAATGTGATTTGACTCACTGAAGATGGCGCTATAAGGATAAGGTGGGAGATTATGTCAGCTCCTTAAGAGCTAAAGATGTTGGTTATATAAGATGGGGAGGGGGCAGAGAGCAGCTACAACTGAGCAGAAATCTCCCCAAATCCAGGGCAAAAATGTAGGCCAAGGTTGGAATAGGCATGAGAAACTACCAAAAGCTCAACAGGTTGAGATGGGTCTCTGAATGAAGACCACAGCGCAATGGAATGGGTCTAAACTAGGGTCAACAGATTTTTTTTTCATAATAATTAGCCCTACTGGCAACATTCTGCCAAGACTGTTTTATAATCCAGCTTCTGAAGCTTTATAGACCTCTGTCCCTCTATGATGGAAAAAGATGAAAAGATGATAATCAGTGTGTGGAATGGTGGGTTGACTGATCGTTTAGCAAAGACCGGTAGAACAGAATATTTGTAGCTCAAGGTTGAACTCTGGGGTGCCTGGTGTTCTCTGAGCTTGCCTGCTTTCTTGCAGACATTTAATGACCCAACTAGGTAGCATCATCAGTACTAAAAGGGAGTGGGATCTGCAGAGAGGAGGAGGAGGAGGAGGAGGAGGAGGAGGAAGACCATGGTCCTTGGTGCTCCCTGAGCTTGGTTGCTTTCTTGCAGATGTGAAATATTTTCTCGCAGACGTGAAATCTCTGCAAGAGAACAACCGAGCTCAGAGAGCATCAAGGACCCCACATTTAGGAGATAATTGGATGGTCTTCCTGATGTTGCTTGACTGAACCTCTGGCAGTGCTGAGACAATCCAGACAGTGGTGAAGGACTTCTAGAGGGCCACCACATCCTCCAGATTCAACTTTAAATGTGTAAACTGCTCAGGTCTGGTTTTCAAATTATATAATCCTTGCCACAATATGAGCTGGCAGGCGCCTGGCCTCCTTCCCTCCTCTTCAGGTGTCCTTTCCAGGCTTAGACTGGTCCCAGCTCACTTAGCAATTTGGAAGAAGAGCAGACACATCTCTTCAATTTGGCCTTCTAAATGGCCAGCAATGATTTTTTTTCATCCAATATTTAATGGGTAGCATTGATTTAATTATTTATGCTTTAAGAGACTGCATTGCTGTTTTGGAACTCTTCTACACGGACTTGGTGTTTTTCAGAAAGTTGGCCCCAAAATATCTTAAGTTAGGTTACTGTTGTCCGTGCAAAGGCCAAATCTCAAGTGAAAGCTTTTGAACCAACTCTAGGACAATGGCCGATGGATCAAAAGTAAATACATTCAATCCATCTAACCTCCAAAGGGATCATTGCTCAGAGACAGGGCACCCAACAAATCCCTTCATCTTTAATTCCCAAAATTGCTACTTATGTAGGATTTGTAGAACCTTGTGAGAAAGTGGTGCAGGTTTGTGAGGCATTCTTACTCAATTTGACACCCTAGAGTAAGCAGTCAAAAGTCTAACTAGGCATCAACTGGTTTCCCAAGACAATCTTTTGACAATTTTGGCATAATCTGCCCCTTTTTTCGGCCAGGACTAACTCATGCTGTTTCTGCCTTAATCCCTTCGAGAGATTTGTAGGGAGGAAGCCTTCATCAATTTGGCCCCCTCTAACTTGAGCTGACTTAGCTAGAGAAGAAATGGGTCACTGGCCGATGGAGAAATGAATGATCATGACTAAGCAGAAGCTAAGGAGGGCTCGGTGAGTGTGGGCAACTGTGTCCAGTCTCACAGATGCCACACTGGGAAATGCTGAGAGAGAGAACATTTAAACACTAGGGAGTGAAGATCAGATGGCCTAACCCAGTGTTTCCCAAACTTGACCATTTTAAGGCATGAGGACTTCCACAGCCAGCAATGCAGGCTGTGGAATTCTGGGAGTTGAAGTCCACATGCCTTAAAATGGTCAAGTTTGGGAAACACTGGCCTAACCCTATTGAGCAAAAACAGAGTCAGTCAACAACTCATTTAAACAAAGTCTGGTTCAAAATACAAGGCTGGGGGTTAAAGATCCATTTCCTGGCTCGTCTGCCAAGGGGATCCATCTCTCCCGAGAAGCCACCTGATAACTGAGACTTTCAAAACTTCTTGAGCCACAAAATGGACTCAAAGATGGCCTCGTTCAACTGCCAAGTTATGAAAACAGCCCAAAAGAAGAGGGGGCCACCTAACATCTATTGGGGAACCTGTAATGGAGAAGATGTCATTACAGATTGTGAAACTTTCATAAACATTGGAGAGGAATAGCAGGACGGTAAACTTGAGTACTACAAAAACAAAGGACAGGTGGAAAATAGAGGTCCCCTGTAAGACAGGTGGGCCATCCTCTGCGCTGGGTGGGGAAGGGAAAACGTGCAAAAATATGGATTCCATAAAGACATCCTTCTCTTGAAACACCCAGCGGTCTTTGGAATTCTTTTATTATGGCTTCTTAACGCTCTTCAATAAATAGGGTAGATCAGGATTTCTTCTAGCCTTGAGTTTGCCTCATTCATGGCAATCCTGCCTGCAGGTTTAAGCTCCAGCCAAGCTTTGAAAGAGCATTGAGGCTAAACTGTTGTGGGTGCTCCATCACTGGAGATTTTTAAGAAGAGTCCGTTGCCTGTTGTCTGAAATGGTCTAGAGTCTCCTGCTTGAGCAGGGGGTTGGACTAGAAGACCTCCAAGGTCCCTTCCAACTCTGTTATTCTGTCAAACATGGAGTCATAGCCAGTTTTTGTTTCCCCAACACCTACTGTCTCTCGCACACAACAAAGAGCTTCTAGCAAGCCTTGGTGGAACCTCAGACTGACCTCATCTCTGCATGGAGTTGAAAGTACCTCGATCTTCTGGTGGAATTATTGAGTTTGACTCCAGGGAGATGATATAAAGAGGACTTAAAGAGCCAGTCTCCTCTCCTTCTAAACAGATTGCTTTTGAAGTGCAGCCTAAACCGATTCGGGGGACCTTATGGAGCTAACATCTTGAGGGGGAAGATGGAAGGAAAGCAAGGGGAAGAGAGATTAAAATAGCCTCAATTAAACTTCTGGAATATGGCTCTGCAATAGATTTAAGTCATTAGCCCTTAATCACGCTTCTCCCTATATGCAAGCTCATTTTCAGACCCCTTAATAAACATGGATTTTCTTCTTCAAGGGCAAAGAATTAGCTGTCAACAGGAAGGCCGCGTAAAAGAGGACACTCAGACTTTCCTATGAGGCTAAGAAGAAGAACTTGTTTGGAGAGATGGAATTACAGATGTCCAGTTAGTTTTTTTATTGCTCCAATCTAAAACTCACTCAGTGCAACATTTCCATATAATATTTCCATATCTTCATCTGTTCCAATCCACATGAAAATCTAAGCATTTTGGAACCCACTTTTCCTCAATTCACTTCTTTTGGGATTTTTCTTGTAGGGCTTCTTTTGTCTGCAGTTTTCTTTTTCTACACTTTTTCATTGCAGAACTTTTAACTTGACTTTTAAAGAATTACATTTGGATTTGCAGATTTATTTGGCCAATGGAAATTAGAATGCCAACCAAATAAGTCTAGGCATCTTATCCTCAGTTTCCAGGATCTACAGTTAAAATGCTGTTTATTTAGCAACGTTTGACCAGGAACAAACAATTTTTAAAATATTTCTTTGACTATATTTTCCTAAAACATGCAGGTAGATTCAGAAAACGGCTGCTGTTTTCTAAGTTTTAAATTTTTCCTGATCTCATGCATTGTTTTGTGTAACAGCCCCTAAAATAGCACACAACCAGTAGCCATTAAACCCCTCTCCCAAAAGTGTTGTGTTTCTTAAATGCATTTATTTTTTCACCGTGCTAGAGCTATTTCAAACTGGAAAACAGTTGATGCAAATAATCCCATTGTCAGTTCTAGTTCAGTCCTAAGTTTGTAACATTTATGAAGGGGAAAATGTTTATTGCTGGGCTTTTTAATATTAGCCTAGGTGTGTTTGGGTTAAAACCAGGAAATTTGATCTGTTTCCTCAGTCCCTTTCATGAGGTTGTAGCAAAAAATGTTCTCATGAAGTAGAAGGAAATAGCCTTGGTGTTCGGATGTCATGGAGACAGCGATGAGGTAGCCACTCAGAGCAGAGTGTGGCTCGACAGCCCTCTTTTATAACACAATCACAGCACTTCGCTCACTCTGAATCAGCAGAGGGATGGAGAGCCATCCATCTAGCTGCTAGCAAAAATGTGAACTGCTTTAATTTCATTTTTTTTTTTTTTTGCAAACAGTGCACACACCAGGCTTAAATATACTACGAAAACTCCACAAGTTCTCCAGATATGATGGTCTTCGTCTTTTTCATTGGAGAAAGAAGCAGCTCACAAGAAGCCTGATCGAAAGGGCACAGCACTGGGAAAAGAATGCACAAAAATGTCACAGGCTGTGGGAAAACGTTTGCAAAGACTGACGGAGCCTTTAGGGTGATAGCTTAAAGGGGGGGGTGTCTAATCCTGAGAAAGATTAAACACGGGTGTGGGCTCATGTGTCCCTCATGATACGAGGGTGAGCTTTTCTGCAGGAAGAGGGAAAAATCTGGTTCCAGAAATACATTTTGCCCTTTCTAAGTCTGGATTCAAACCAAGATATGCTACTGCAGAGTTTATTGGAAGCTGGCAGTGCTGGAATAACAGGGTTCACATCTCTTTTGAGGCCCCTTCAAGTCTGCCCTACTGTGTTTTTGTGTATATTTGTATATGCCTGTGTGTGTGAAAGAGAGAGAGAGAGAGAGAGAGAGAGAGAGAGAGAGAGAGAGAGGGAGGGAGGGAGAGAGAGAGAGAGACAACAGTTGGCCATATTTACATCTGCAAGAGGGTTGGGGGAACTGAGAGGAAACTGAATGCCTTCACTCTAGCAGTTCTTCCACAAGACCATTTCATCTCCCCAAACTTCCCTGAAAAGCTCTCTCAAAAATTGGGGGGCGGGAGGGTGGTGGAGTGGCTGCTCACTTTTCCACTCCTCCATCCATGCCAAGCCTGATGGGCACCTTGAGGTGCCAGGATTTGCAGACTCCTCTCCTAGCAGCCCAGCGTACTTGTGCATGCGCACAGTTGCCTTTTTTTAATTGGAAGAACCATCTTGGAACAGGGACGATTGTCCTTCAAATGGCCACCTAAGGGCAGGTAGGAGAATGCCGTTGCCATAGAACAAGGGTCAGACCAGGAAAAAGAAAAAGAAAAAGATGAGCCTGAAGAACTGGATGCCATAAGGATGCTACGCCAGTTCCTTAGGAGACCTGCTGGCTTGCAGACTGTGCTGTTGTCCTCTTAGACCATTTATGGCCCTCATTCAACTTCTGAAGTGGCTGTTAAGAGTGCCTTTTGCATCATTGCATAAATGCCTCTCCTTGAGGAGCTGAGAGAGCTCTCTGTCTTCCTCTCTGATGCTTCTTTGGCTCAAGGATTGTTTTTCATCCCCTTTATGGAGAGCCATTCAGCAGTCTTGCCAGCTCATCGCCACACTCACTTAGTGGCTAATTAAAACGGCAGAGATGTGTCTGAGCAAAAGTCAGTGCGTCATTCAGGCTGGAGCTTTGAAGCTCCACCACTATCCTGATTTACTCTCTCCGAGACCTCCGAGGAACACACGGCCTCACCCAAGCCTGGCTTGACAAGGGGTGTGGACCCACACTCCACTGAAGTCAGGCTAATCTCTAGTGATTTCCTTCCCTAACCGATCCAAGACTACATCCTATCAGTGCACAGATTCCAACATTCATATGTAGCCAAGTTACTTCTTCCAAGGATGGGTGGCTTCGTGCTCATGTCTGCACTGCCTATGTCCATCCAGGGGACAAAGCTTGGGTGTTAGGGAAGGAGAAAGGGGTAATAGAAGGATAACAGAGGAAAGGAAAAATGACTCCTTTCCACCAGGCTGCAAAACTCTCACCTGGTGAAGAAGCAAGAGAAGAAGAAGACAGAACTTACATGAGGGACCATCCGAAATAGATGAAGGTGCTACCCCAGTACATAGGATTATCGATGACATTGAAGGGGAAGGAGGTCACCTTCGCCTCCATGAGGATGCCAAAATAGTCACCTGGAAACGAAAGACGACAAGTAGTTGAGTCAATCAAGGAATCACTTTGCTGGATCAGATCAGAGGCCTTTTCCTGCAGCAACCAATTGGGTTGGCATTGACGATTCTCACAAGCCCAAAGATCTGGAGAAGGTTGACCATGGAAATCTACCAATGCAGGGAAACTGCAGAAGTCCTTTCCCATCCCTGCTGTTTGGGGGATTTGTAGGTTGTTCACAACCAAGACTGCTGTCTATAGATGAGGAATGGTAAAGGAAACTGCTTAGAAGTAACTTGGCATGTCTCCCTTGTTTGTTTGGTGGTTGGTTTTTTTTTTTTTTTTTGTACTCTTAACACTAACCTACAAGTCCCAAAAGTGCTTTTTCAGGAGGCAACTGGACATTCTTTTTCTTTGAAGACGTTTCCCTTCTCATCCAAGAAGCTTCTTCAGCTCTGAAGAAGCTTCAGAATGAAACATCTTCAAAGAAAAACAAGGAAGTCCATTTGCCTGGTGAAAAAGCACCTTTGGGACAACCGTGACCTGGAGAATCTCCATGCACAAACCACACAAAGCTCAGAGTGACTCAACCGGCTGCAGAAATTATTAGGAAAACTTTTTTGGCCCTCTCATTATCCCACTAAGCTGCCTCTGGCAATCATCCGGAGGGCGGGAGGGGAGAAAAAAAAAGAAAAAAAATCAGGTGAGGTATTTTCATTCCTGAGAGCTCCAGAATGGCTTTTTGACATGGTAGGAAGCTGTGGAAATTGCCGATCTGACCCAGGTACCGATGAATAATAAATTTTTGCACTCTGCTCACTGCTGCTTGAAACCTGTCGTTACTGCCAATTAACAGCCCGGTTTTGTAAAGAAGTGTCAACTGTAGTTCAAGGAGGGGGCCAGGAGTGAAATAAATTGGTTTGTATTTGATATGACTTAGACGCCAAGAGCCATAACTTTAAAGAAAACGTTCTCCCCCTCCCCATTTTTTTTTAAAAAAGCAATTTAGAAGCTGTAAAGCTCACTTTGTCCTGAAAAGGAATTCAGTTACATTTCTGTATACGTTTTGCTCAAAAGGCGAGGAAAGTTTTTCAGGGCCCCCGATTTCTGGAAAAGATGGATTGACAGGACTCCCGGACTCTCTTCTCCCCCCAGAAGGGGGTCAGGAGCTCCTTCATCTCCCAAATCAAGGTGGGAGGAAACAAAACTAGGACCTAATGCTTGCTAGTACAGGAAGTCCTCAACTTACAACAGTTCATTTAGTGACCGTTCAACTGTTACAACAACACTGAAAAAAGGGACTTAGGACCGTTTTTCACACTTAATGATCGTTGCTGGTCACATGATCAAAATTCAGACGCCTGGCAACTGGCTCTGTAATAAATTGCAGCTGAGGGACATGGATTCTCTCTCTTCTGTCTCCTATGCTGTGTTGGATGACAGAGGATCTGTGAACTCACGATCCCGGCATGAACCGTTATACTTTGGCTGGTTTCTTAAAAGGGTTGAATCAATTCATGAAGTCCTGGAGATCAACGGCTGTTGGCTCTGAGGGCCACAAAGGTGGCTTCTGAAGGCCCTCTGCTGAGACTGGTGGGCTTCCTTGAGCAGTTGGTTGGTCAACTGTTGGAGAAAGGTCTACTGGACTGGTGGTTCTCAGTGGTGCTGGCTACCAGCTTGGCTGGCTTCAAAATAAGAGTTGGACCAATTCATGGAGGTCCCGGGGATCAACCGGGCTTAGCCTTGATGAGAGAAAGATCGCTCCTGAAGACCATCTGCTGAGAGTTGGGTGGGCTTCTTAGGCAGCTAGTTGACTTCTGTGAGAATGGGCTGCTTTTCAAGATGGGCCAGACGTCCAATCCAGCAGGGCACTGCTTACATTCTTCTATTTTCAGCATGACATCCAACTGAGGAGAAGTCTTCAGGTCTTCTTCCTCCAAAATTACAATCCTTCTGGACAGAGGAATTGAGACAGTGGACTGAGGCAGAAGACAAATCTCCTTCCCAGCTGGACTCCCCTTCACAAAGACATGCTGGGTCATGCTGTAAAGGAGAATCGATTGAAGTCTCCAGCCGTTTCAAACTAGTCTAAAGAATGTTGGAAGATCATCTGGTCTGAATGGTGGGAAACAAAACAGCGAGGGTCATCTCCCCCCCCTTTTTTTAAGCGCAATAGGAACTTTCTAGTTTCTGAAGGGTTGCAATCCACTGAGCCAAAGCAATTTGCTTTCCAGGGAGACAATATCATTCCTGTTTATCATGGGAAAATGCTTCTCTTCTCCCTACAATATTATGACTTTCTCCACAAACATGCTTTGGGAATGGCTTCCTCACCCCAACGAACTGTAAATTTTGCACCTCTCCTTTCCGCCTCCCAATCCCAGTAAAACCTAGCAAAAGATAGGCTCTTTCGAAGTTATATTGAGGAATGCAAAAAGCCAAGAAAATAAAGCTAGCGTGGATTTGTGTTTGTGTGTGTGTGCCGGGGTTGTTCTTTTGTAGCTCTGTTCTTTCTGCTCTCCCCTTCCCTCAATTCCAAATTGCACACAGCTGTGTTGGTCCATCTGGAGGAAGAGACAGATGGAAAATTACTTTCCCCTTTTATGGGAGGGCAAATCAAAAAGCCGCAGAGGAAGCTGGTGAATTTGTCGAAATTCATCGCCAATCAACAAGATAAAACGGGGGAGAGGTAGAGATATCTGGGTGGGATAAAAAAAGGGGGAGATCCTTGCAATTAGAAGCAAAAGGCCAAGTGAGAGGACATGGCAGAGAGAGAGAAGAATCAAGAGAGAAATGGTTTCTGCTGAGGAAAATAATTTTATTTCCCACCACTAGGATGTCGGTATGGGGCCATTTCACCCCCTAGAAGTTTGGGTCAACAGTAAATCCATACCAAATAACAGGTTGATTCCTTCTTGGTGGTGAGATTCTGATCCAGAATGCACCAATAAAGGTCCAGGGTTGGGAAAGAGAAACAGTGGTTGACAATTCTGAGGCACACCGTTAGATGGCCTCAAGTGTTCTCAAGTAAGCATTGCCACACTGGAGCTTCCTGCCACAGAATGTCATGGTGGACCTCACTTGGATGCCTTAGCAGAAGGCAAGCCAGATGCAGAGCAGTTGGCCCTAAATGGACACTCCTAGAGATAAGATAGGACCTTCCGGGTCCAAGAGGTTCTGCTCTGGTCCAGGTCAAGGTATCCTAGAGCAGAGGTGGCTGAGGAATTCTGAGAATTGAAGTCCACAAGTCTTAAAGTTACCAAGGTTGGAGACCCCTGTCCTGGAGACCTTTCTGGTGGGACCAGAACAGTGGCTCTGCTAGGCCAGTGTTTTTCAAAGTTGGCAATTTTAAGAGCTATGGATGTCAACTCCCCAGCCAGCATGCATGGGCCTCAACTCCTCAGTCGACATGCATGGACCAAGTCTCCAGCTGTCTGGGAATTCTGGGAGTTGAAGTTCATGCATGCTGGCTGAGGAATTCTGGGAATTGAAGCCCACACAACTTAAAGTTGCCAAGGTTGAGAAATCCTGAAATCGACCATAGTCTGAGGTAGCCGTTCTGGTCCCTCAAGAAGAAATGTGGGGCATTGTACCAAGCAGTCTGCTCAATCCCCTCCAGGGGATGAGTCTTCTCTTCCCTCTCTGATACCGGAAGTTAGTTAAGTCACTGTGACATAAACCTTACTGGACTGAATTCATAAGAGACGAAGAACAACACAACTTGAAGAGAACTGCATTCACACAAGAGACATCTTCCTGTCTCACCACGTCAAAGAATACAACCCCATGGGAAATCAAAAAAGCAACTGTCTCTCCCCATAAAAGTGAGATGCTGAACACTAGGGTTCGAGGGATGGCTATATCCCCCTGTCCACTATGGCCTAGATTTTGGATTAGAATGTCGGTCAAGCAGTCCTCTGGCTGCTTACATGCTCACAAGCACAGACACAAAGGAAGTAAATGGGCCAGCCAAGTATGACTCCTCAACTGTGGAGAAACTGCCCCCTACTGTGCAGGAAATGGGAAGGACACCGAGCCGTTGTTTATCAAGTGTGAATCATTCTGTGCCAATCTAACTCCATAGCCTACATTGGAGGCGCCAGGAAAATAACCATCTGATTATTTAAACACAGAAATTATTTACACACACCGTCCCGAATTGCAGAATTAAACAGAGCCAACTCTTTGTCCAGCAATACTTGTGTGGCCAGAGTGTGGTGTATTCCCCACCTGCAGAGCACCAAACAGACCTGGGTGGATCCTGAAAAGCTAAGCAATAGCACTTAGATACTTATATACTGCTTCACAGTGCTTTACAGCCCTCTCTGAGCAGTTTACAGAGTCAGCATCTTGCCCCCCAACAATCTGGGTCCTCATTTCACCGACCTCAGAAGAATGGAACGCTGAGTCAACCTTGAAGCTGTCAGGATCGAACTGCTGGCCGTGAGCAGAATTAGGCTGCAATACGGCCTTCTAACCACTGTGCCATATATTGCAGCAGAAACAGGAATAAGAAAGAGGGGGAAATTGTGGTGTATCCAACCAAAAAGGAGCTGCCATTTTGATACCTTGGACCTGCCCTGTAGAGGCCCCCATTGTTAACCAGCTTTAACTTGGGGCAACTTGGAGAATGTTGCCTGTCTGTAACCATCTAGGACAGCGGTTCTCAACCTATGGGTCGCGACCCCATTTGGGGTCGATCGACCTCTTTTGTGGGGTCGCCAAACGCGGCGATCCGCCATTTTGTCGCCTCCGGGGGCGCACTGCGCCTCCGGGGGGGCGGTGCCGCGCACGCGCGCCGCGCGTGGGGGTGGCGGCGCGCCTCTGGGGGGCGGCGCCACGCATGCGCGCCGCGCGTGGGGCGGCAGTGCACCTCTGGGGGGCAGCGCCGCGCATGCGTGCCGCGCATGGGGGCGGCCCTGTGCCTCCGGGGGCGCCGCCATGCATGCGCGCCGCGCGTGCGGGCGCCGCCGCGCATGCGTGCCGTGTGCGGGGGCCCGCCCCATGTGCGCCGCGCACGGGGGGGCACCGCGCATGCGTGCCGTGCGCGGGGCCCCACCCCCATGCGCGCCACGCCGCGCATGCGCATAACGTTTGTGTGACGGGGGTCGCCGTCACACAAACGTTGAGAACCGCTGATCTAGGAGAACCGTGTTGGAGAAAGGTGGCATCAAGCTATGATCAAGTTGACCTTACCTAAAAACGTCCCGATAAACCCCAGGGCTAGGAAGCTGGAGGTCACCAAGAGGACGCCCACTGCCATGAGAGTGACACTGGCATAGTACACTAAAAGACAATCCAGCTGTGGTAGCTTGGGCTGACTCTTCATCGCTTCTCCAAAGCTGTAAGAGATGAAAAAGATTGTTGAGGTGATGAAGCCTTCCTAAGGTGATGCAGGCCGAAGGAAAGGAGACTCTGCTAATTACAAACATTGTACGTGCCTAAAATTTTTATTGAAAGACTTTTTAACACGATAAAAACAATAGAAATATTAGAAAGGAAACAAAGAAAGTAAGTTAGAAGAGTGAATAAGTAAGAAAGGAAATAGAACTAGAAGAAAGAAAGAAAGAAAGAAAGAAAGAAAGAAAGAAAGAAAGAAAGAAAGAAAGAAAGAAAGAAAGAAAAAAAAGGGAGGGAGGAAGGAAGGCTTCCAATCTTTTTGATAGTGGTTATAAAGGCACTCAAATGTTACCCTTTCTCTTGAAGCTTACATCGTCATTTCCATCTTTCCATAAGCAGTCCCATAAATCGTTCATTTTTCTCTTTTTTTTTCAGCAAAAAGTCTAGAAGAAGCTTTTTTTAGAAGGAGCATCTTTGCTCTGGCAAACAGAAAACTCAATTTCCTGCCCTGTTTTAGTTTGCTGAGGTGCAAATGGCCTGTTTTCTTTTTGTCTCTCCCTCTCCAAGTGCAACAGACTGGCACTAACACCAAACTCAGGTGTTCACGCTGCACTTATCCCATCCCTGGAAGGAAAACAAATATTGGACGAAAGAACACATGAGGTGGGTTTTTTTGTGGATGGGGGATGAGAAGCAAACAGCCCCAAACCCACCCCAAGAAACAGGTAGAAACTGAATTTGATCTCACTATAATCAGGGCTTGCATTTAATACACAGCAGTCAGCAGAATTCTTTCATAATGACTTTCCTATTTCTGATTTTGGGTTTTGCTGATTAGACAGGTCTGCTGTTACAGAAATGGCTAGTATATATTATTATATAAAGGTAAAAAGTTGAGTTTTCATGTTACTGCCTTATTTTACTGCACCAAAGGGAGTCGGAAATCAATGCTCTTTTTTGTTTTTTCTCCTCTACCCTACACTTTTCTCTCTTCCCCCTTTCCTCCCTTATTTTCCATAATTTTCATTTTTCTTGGTTCCCTATTTCTTTCACTAAATGTATGTATCAGAGCTACAGACGGCCACTTAATTTTTCTTGGACTCCAACCTATTTCACTTGGCGTACGAAACAAATGTTTGATAGAAGAGAAAGGAGAAAAATGACACTGCGAAAATGACTAGGGTTTCTATTAGAAAAGCTACAACCCGGCATTTGAAGAGAAGGCATCTTTTTCTAGTGCCCCAATTCTGCCACCGAGGCATCCGCTGGTTTTCTTTTCCTTCCCATGCTTTTGAATCGGCCCCTCGGCTGATTAATCGACTGTGACAGAGTGGATTAAATGACCACTTGAAAACTTGCAACACTGCTGAAAACAGCCACGGAGCTTTGGGACCCCTGGCCAGGTCTGGCTAGGCACACACCATCCTCCTTCTACTCTGGGTCCCATGCTTGCTCATGGTTCAAGTCTTCTGCAAACAAGGATGCGGTTTCCATTAGCGACTCTAGTTGAGCTGTATTTTCATACCTGCCAAAAGTGTTTGCTCATGCTAATGGACCATCTTCTCCTGGAGCCAAGACTGATGGTTTCCTAAACAGAGTTTTGTTTACCTAACACATGAACTGGGAGGTCCACCCTGTTACCTGGTCGACCTCACTATTGATAAATAAACCTTTCAAGCATTCATATCTCTGGCCAATGATGATTTCTTAAGTTAATGTCATAGGCTTGGCATCTGGAGCCAATCAGGTTCAGGGCATCTGTTAAAATCCTACTCAGAGTGATCGATCGATCAACCTTGGTTCACACTTAATGTAAACCCGGTTTACAGAGGGCTGTCTCACTCTGATTTCATGCACCGTTAAATCAGAGGGAGGGAAGGAGGGCTGCTTGGAAGCAACATGTGTGCCTAGCATTAGCACAAAGGCGTGCAATTTTAAATGTGCCCATTTTGGTAAGAGGATAAAGAGAACCCCAACCAGACAACCACACTTAAAATTCTGTAAGTTACATTCCTCTTTTACCACTCAAGTCAACCAAACTCCTGCTGAGTAGAGATCTAAGAATTCCTATTATCTGTGGCCTGATTAAATTCAAGTTAGACTACTGTACTGTGGGGCTGCCCTTGAATACTGTTTGGAATCTACTTTTGGGAGAAAGAACCACTGTTCTTAGACACAACTCACAGTCAGTTAAATATTATGTGGTGTGAGTGACCCTTTGGAGCTAATAACTGAGTTGGGAGCTCGGCTGAGCTCTGCCTTAGGGCGAGGGACATCGTTCTTGAAGAGCTTTGCTGGAAAGTTCACCATCTTCACTTCAAGGAACTCCCACTAAAGAGCTGCTGGGCTAAATAGATGGATTCTTTGCGCCATGCACTTGGATATCTGCTTTTTGAAGTTCAGGGAAAGCATCCTGGTCTTCAACTTATGACCATAATGCAGCCTGCCCATTAGGGTCATAAAATGGGTCACCCACATGACCGGCCTGATTTTACCATGTTTTTTGTATCTATCATTAAAGCAAACACGGTCGTCATCAGCAGACTGATTGTAGGGGGAGGGCAAACAGGTTGCAATTTATTTTCAACTTTTATAGAAGTTTAAAAAAATTGTCTTCTCATACATCATTTATTCTGGCTCGTGAATGCTGCCCTAGGAAGATTGTAAAACCTTCAAACACGCAAAAACAGTTTAATTCTGAGATTCCCTTTGCCGTCACCAAGTTCAAGTCTTAAAAACAGGATTTTGTGCCCTTTTCCTTGCTCCCATGGAGTATTCATGGCCCCAGAGGGTTGAGGGGGGAGAGTGGATTTAGATTCAGCTGGTCCACACTTTGGATATAATTCTGTATCCCCCTCAGTCTTGAATCCAGGGCAGAGCAATCAAACCTTTGGAGCTGTTGTGGATACGGGGAAAGCTTTTGGAAAGTCAACCCGCCTGCTTAGGTTACCTTCCTTGCAATGAGAACATCTAAGGACACATTATCATAATGTACAGTACATCATTCATACTGGATTACAGAGCAGATCTGAGTAGGGAGAGAGAGCATTATCTTGCCTTATCCAAGATAAGAGAGTTGAAATGACCTGAGAGTTAAATGCACAGATAATCCGTGGTGCTTCTGTAAACATGAAGATTCGCTAACCCTGAAAACGAAACTAGGCAGCCACAGTGTTTTCATTCCCTTCTTAAAAATGGGGAAAAGATGCTGGACTGAGACACCTCCTTGCAGTACCTAGTGATAAAGTAAATCCACAAGGGATAGGAATAATAGGGAATGATTTACCCCGGCCTGGTGCCATTCTGTTGGGTTTGATTACAATCCCATGATGATTTGGAGAGCATCGTTGAGGATGCTGCCTCAAATGAGACCAGAGCCTTGAGTCCCCAAACGAGTCTTAATCCAACTGACATTTGGAGCCTCCTTCAACAGATGAAGGTGGACTAGAATGGTGATTTTTAGCTGGAGATGGTTTCTGATTGATTCTTCAAGAGGAGGACCTCCAGCATCATCCATCTCCCCACCTTTATGGTCGTCAAAAGCTGTAAAGCCAAGTGAGGACCAATCTACTCATGCCCATTGGTAGAAAGGCACTAACCCAGTGGGCTTCAGTTCCTACAGATACAACATGACCCTATGTTGGTGTTGGCCTAGGAGAGACCAGGTTAAAATCCACCCTCAGTCGTGGAAGCTCACTGGGGGACTTGGGGCAGGTCACATTCAACCCAACCTACATCACAAGCCTGGAGATGGGACAAACTGGAGGATGGATGTTTTGTAGGCACTTTGAGCTTCAGGAGTAAAAGTAGAATATAAACCTAGTCAAAACTGAAGGTAGAAGACAGGAGATTTTTCTTGGAACTGTCCAAGGTCCTGCTGACATTTGCCTTGACTTTTATATGGATTTTGAACTTTTTACTTGAATTATTAGGTCTTTCTTCCTTAGATGAACTTCTCTTCCTAGAGTTGCTCCATCAAACACTACAGTTTTCCCCTTCAGGTCTAAATCCCAGATCATGCGCAAACGTCTTACAGTCATCTTGACAAGGAGATCCACACAGCTCAGGAAAGGCAATTCTTCTCCTCCAGCAAAGAGGCCAAGCAACTGACTTGAAGAAACATCTGCCTTAAACCATCTCATCTTCTCTGTCGCCTTCCAAACAGACTTCTGCACATGAGCATGGAACTCTCCTTCAATCTTTACAAGTTTTGGGGAGGAAGCCACATAGCCATTTGAAGGAGATGCTTTGACACCCCCAACTTTTGCCAAAGGCCCATCAAACACCCCCAAAGGTGAGACTCACCAGTGACTCCGCAGAAAGTTGAGCAAGATGATGACAACTCCCAGGAAGTAGCAGGCTGTATAAGGAGAACGGAAGATGCGTGTGAGTGACCGGGTTGTGTGCTCCCATCTTGCAACCTGAACAGATAAAATTTTAAAAAAGGTCAAAGAACCAGCTGGCCAAATGACCACATAACAAAGCCCTTTTGCAGCATCCAAGGTCTGCAAGGAAAAAGATGCAGGGAAAGATCCCAAATTACTAACGTCATCTTCTGACAGGAAATAACAGCCTCATCAGTGGATTAGTAATTCTGTTAATCAATAGTATCTCTCTTCGGCCTGGAGTTTAATTTTGATTGATAGACCTTCCTTCAACTGACTCTAAACGCTGATTCAGAATTTCCACAGCCTTTCCCAAAGATGCTGGACAAGAGACGAACAACTGCGTACTGTTAGATGACAAACATCGGTAGATCGGTTTGTCTCCTTAATTTCATAAAGATGTTGAAAAAAAAAGAGGCAGGAAATCAAATTCAGTGGGATGCAGGTAGACCTTGACTTACAACCGTTCATTTAGTGACAGTTTGAAGTTACAACCGCACTGAAAAAGCGACTTAGGACCGTTTTTCACACTTATGACCGTTGCAGCATCCCCGTGATCAGAATTCAGACACTTGGCAACTGACTCACGTTTATGACAGTCACAGTGTCCCACGGGGAGTCACGGGGTCCCCTTTTGCAACCTTCTGACAAGCAAAGTCAACGGGGAAACCAGATTCACTTAACAACTGTGTGACTAGCTTAACAGCTGCAGGGATTCATTTACTGATGGTGGTGAGAAAATGGGGCAAAACACACTTAACTGCCTGGCTTAGCAACAGAAATGTTGGACTCATTTGTGGTCGTAAGTCAAGGGCCGTACTGGCCAGAGGACAGGGTCAAGCCTTCTCCCTTCGACCTGTCATGGGCCATTCTCATTTTTAATAGCGCCAGGACTCCGATGCTCAACCAAACCATGATGCTCCCCCCTGCCGTTCTTGGCCAATCTGCCCAATGGAATCATTTTGAACAGGCTGGAGATGGCATCCACCAGCCTGGCCATTCATCCATATGGAGTGTTTGTTCCCAGGCAGAGATATTCTGAAACCCTGCTTCGCTTCTATTTTATGCTGTTCCATTTTTATCTCCAGCTTACCGCAAATATACAGAAGGGAGGAGGGTATTTCTTTCTGATAAGAGTCCTCAGGTGCCCCCAGGTACCACTTCTATTGGGGACAATGTGATCCTAGCAACCGTGATGCTTCTGTAGATGCTTGCATATGATTTCCTGATAGCTGAGTCCAGAGAAAGAAAGAAAGAAAGAAAGAAAGAAAGAAAGAAAGAAAGAAAGAAAGAAAGAAAGAAAGAAAGAAAGGAAGGAAGGAAGGAAGGAGAGAGAAGGGAAAGAAGAGAAGGGGGAAAAGGAGGTGGAGAGATAATCCTAGTGGAAACTGCAAGGAAGGGTAGAGAAGGACGGCAGAAGCAGCGCAAAGCAGGAGAACAGAACAAAAGGAAGGGGAGGGAGAACACCCTGCTAATTACTTTGTACAAGCCAGCAATTAAGAGAAGCCTATTTGCATGCAAAATCTAATGAGTGTCTTTAGGAGCTGCCCTACGTGTGGCTGGATGGCGCTGGAACATTCAAGGTGTCTCCACAGTGAGGGAACGCTGGGCGATTAGCCATGAAACACCCCCCCCCCAGTTAGCCCCACATTAATTAGGCGGCTTAAACAAGATTCAGACTTGCTGCTAACTGCTAGCCAAGTTCATGCCATGACTTGCTGCATGGTGTGAACTTACTCTGGGGAGAAAGTGCAGCTGTGGGAGTTTTCTCCAGCGTACAATTTTCTTCTTTTGCTAGAATTATCCCCCAAAAGATGCTGCAGGATTGGCAAAGGGGCGTTTTGGGTCTTTTGAAGATGATGATGCTTCCCAAAAGAGCAGCTCAGCTCAGCTCCCAAAGGTAGCACAGAGGCAGGAGGATCCTGCTTCCAAACAGTATCAAGGTTTTAACTTTAAAAAGAAAAGAAAAGAAAATCCTTGCTCTTCTTGGTACGGATTTATACTTGAGGGTTCTTAAACTTTGCACAACTCCTGGAAACTCACCGAAACAGCTTAGCCCTGGGCGCAGGGTGAGGGGCTGACACCCAGAGGGTTGCCTGTCCTTAAGGCAGCAGGTATGAAATACTTTTTTTAAAAAAAAACAGAGCTGAAATTGTGTACTTTAAGAGAAAAAACAGGCTTGATTTTCATCCATTTTGGACACAACAAGCGTTAGTGTGTTCTAAAGAACTCAGCCAGCTGAATGAAACTCTCAGTTGGAGGAGATAGGCTGGGCCTTATTTTATCATGGCTTGTAGAATCAAGCACAAATGGCTGTGTTTCCTACATTGTTAGATTGTCTGCATGTGCATCAGGACGTAGAGAAGGATTCCTGCCCCTTCAGATGAGACTTTTCATTTTTTGAGCAGAAAAGGACTGCAAGGCCTTCCTTCAAGACTTAAATGAGCTTTTATTTTCCTAGTAGTTTTGAAATCTGATAAACAGAAATAAAAAATAGTTCCCATTTGGCACCTGCCTCCTTAGTGATGGTTCAAAGGGACAAGGAGGATGAAAAAGTCATCTTGTACCGGTGCTCTTTATAAAGCAAAAGAAGGTTGAAGGAAGATGATAAGCACCATCAAAGTTCCATTTAACTTTGCTTAACGACCAAGTCCCCGTTGTGGTCGCTAAACAGGGACCGTCTGTAATGTCTGTTGTGCAGAGGAGGTTAGACGCCCAAGGCTCTTCCTAGATTAAAAAAAAGAAAATAAACAAAGACTGGATAGCGAGATGGGATTTCTGCCAAGTCAGGTCAATGCTATTAAAGAGATGAATTCCTTATCGAGAGATTTGATCGGGCGAGGCTTTAAAACAGGAGACATAATCTTCAGAGGCAGGTGGAAGGGCAAAAGGCGGCAAGAAGCTCCTCAGCCTCATGAAACCCAGGACGATGTATTGACTGCAGGATTTAAACTCTCCTTTCCTCCATAATAAGGAAGCAATTTCACCTAATTGGTTTCCTCTGGCAGAGGAAGGTGTTATGAATTTGGAAGCTGATAAGGTAAGCACCTCGGCTGCCAAAGAGACCTGGGTTGCAGCTGGGCCAGCCGCTCGCCTGCTTTCCTTCAGCAAGGCAGGGGAGGCCCAAGGTGACCCCTGATCTCACCAGAGTCACTTCCATCTCTCTCTGCCCCCACAAGCCCACTCCCCAACGCTGGTTCATAAACCTGTGGAGATTCTCCACCATCCAGGTCACGGCTGTCCCAAGGGAGCTTTTCCAAAAGGCAGCTGGATTTTCTTGGGCATTTTTTTTCCCTTGAAGATGTTTTGCTTCTCATCCAAGAAGCTTCTTCAGTTCTGCACCTTGATTACCTGATCCAAGCAGAACTGAAGAAGCTTCTTGGATGAGAAGCCAAATGTTTTCAAAGACAATAACCAAGAAAGTTCAGCCGCCTTTTGGAAAAAGCATCTTCGGATGTCCTCTGGATGGTTAAACCAGGAACTGAGGTTCTACCTCTTTGAGTTCCCTTTTTAGAAGAGGTTCTCAAGCAAAAGGGATTTTGTGGCAAAGGCCGGGATCTTCCCAAGAGGAAAGAGATTCTTTTCTTCAAAGTCCTTTGCAAAAATGTCCCCTCCTCAACTCATCCCTTGCCGGCAGGAAACCCGCCAGGAAGGTGCTGGATCTCTGGCTGTGCTAAGTTCCAAATGCTTATTTCTGAGAGATAAATCAGAGGGAAAGAAACGCAAGCAAAGAAAGAGGATGGGTTTTGCTTCCCATCAGTTGCACCTCTTCTTCCTCTGTATTCATCCCGATCCACAGAGATGCCACCCTGGGCTTCGTGATTGGACTACTGCGACCATCGTTCCCTGCATGGCCATTAAGGGATATGGGCTGGGATGGATGAATGGGCTCCAGCTGGGTGCCATGCAGAGAAATAACCTTGCTCCTTTAGTGCCCCCTGCTGACGATTTGTAGAAAGGAGAGCCCAACAACGGTGGTGACCAGATAGGAAGGGAGGGAGAGAAGACAATTTGTGATGGATTGAACTGAAAGTCCACTGAACCCAGCATCTTTTCTCCAAGGAGGTCCACCAGTCACATGCCTACCAGGAATGCCCAAAGCTAACTTCTCTCACACATGTTCTCCTGGTACAGGGAATAGAATTAGAATTAGATTAGAATAGAATCGAATCGAATCGAATAGAATAGAATAGAATAGAATAGAATAGAATAGAATAGAGAAAAGAAATAAGAATAGAGTAGAGTAGAGTAGAGTAGAGTAGAGTAGAGTAGAGTATAGAGTAGAGTAGAGTAGAGTAGAGTAGAGTAGAGTAGAGTAGAGTAGAAGAGAAGAGAAGAGAAGAGAAGAGAAGAGAAGAGAAGAGAAGCAAGGGGATGTCTGAATGTAAATCATGTGATCTTGGGGATGCTGCAAGGGCCACAAGTATGAAAAACAGTCACGTCACTTTTTTTCAGTGCCATTGTAACTTTGAACAATTACTAAACAAACTGTTGTAAGTCGATACAGGGAGAGCCAGTGGAAGATTAAAAAGATTTTTTTAAAAAAGTTTGGGGTTGAGTGCCTATTTCCAACTGATGTCAGAGGGGCGGTCCCTTTTTTGCTTGTTATCAAGGTTTTACAATATTTAAGCCTGAGGGCTTGTTTTTCAACTGTCCTCATTTTTCTCCAAAACGCTCTGGAAACAATCAAAGATCCACAGTGGGAAACTGGGTCAGGGGCAAGAGAGGAAGATTTAAAAAAACAAAACAGGGGCTGCACAATTGCACAGAGCAGAAGCAGAAACTCCTCCCTGTAAAGTAAAACTTGCAAATATTTCCTCCATGTTGAAATCAAACAATGAATTCTTGCATGTGTACGCACCTACACACACACGCACACACACACAATTAACTCCTTGCAAATAGGACACCAAATCTGGGAAGGGGTGTTTCCGCTGAGCCCCCCAAATGACGCATTGTTCCTGGTGCAGCCACACATAAGGTTCTCTGACCCAGTTCCTGGCGCCTTTATGCAACACAGTCCCAGGGAATCGTTAGATACCTAATTTTAGCTATTCCTACCGATCTCTGTCCCGCTTTGCCAGGTGTGTGAACTTCTGTCAGTCCACTCACCCCCTTTGTCACTTTGCAGCTGGCAAGACAGCCCAGCATGGACCATCAATGCTTTCTGGCCTCGAAAGGAAAATCTCCATGACCACCGTTCCCCTCGCCCTGTTTCGATCCTCGATTCTGCTCGGTCGATGGTCATTAAAAGCAACCTTTAGAGAAAACCATCACGGATGACAAAGACTCAACAAACCAGGCTCAGTGTGGTGGACAGTGCCTAAAGCAGAAGAAGGTATTGTCTGAACAAGGGGCGATCCTAAATGGTCTCTCGGCACACAAGGACAGAAAGAGGGAACAATGGTTATCTAAGAAAAAGGAGAAAGAAGAAGGCCCCCGCCCCAAACTCAGATGAAAGCCAGGAGGAAGAAAGACAGAGGTTCAAGTTACAGTTACACATTTTTTTTAAACGCTGGAGAATGTACCCACAATGGAGGAAATAAATCTAACAAAATGGGGGCTGCATCCTTTTCTCTCCTGTCTTTTAGCTACAAACAGGGTCAAAATCTAGTTCATCTCTTTGACTGGTTCCACCAGACTTAACCTGGTTTAATGAAAAGAAGGACTAGGGGTGATATGAAAGCTCTGTGGGAGCCCCAATATTTGAGGGGCTCCCACAGAGAGAAGGGAGTCAACCTGTTCCCCAAAGCACCTGAAGGCAGGACAAGAAGCAATGGACGAAGACTAATCAAGGAGAGAAGCAACCTAGAACAAAGGGTTGAAGTGACCACGGGGGTGCTGCAATGGTCATAAGTGTGAAAAACGGTCATAAGTCATCTTTTTCAGGGCCATTGTAACTTTGAATGATCACTAAATGAATGGTAGTAAGTCAAGGGTTCAGGTTGCCTGAAACGTTGGCCAAACAACTGCCAGTTTTTTGACTTTGGAGAATGTCTCCCTCCTGAGGGAGCTTTCCGTGGTTCTGAAAGTTGCCTTAACCACTTGGGCAGCATCAGCTCAGAAGCACCCCTCAACCTGCTGCCCTCCAGATGGGCAGGAATTGTCCCTTTTTTTGACCGACCTGAGAGGATACAGGTGGATTCCCAAAAATGTAAGAAGCCACAAGACCCATATTTCTATTGGAAGGCCATTCTAAAGTCTGACTTGGGTTTTATAGGTTGAAAACTACAGGAGTTTGGTACCTACCAGATTCCAGAACAACGGGTTGAAAGCGATGCAGAGGACAGCCACGATGAAGTTGGGATGAGTCACATCCATGTAGTCAGAAAGTAGACTCATAGCCAAGAGGTTGACCTGTGAGAGACACTGAGTGTGAGTTGGCTCTCAGCCAGGAGAAGAAGCCCCTTAATTAGGCTGGGGGTCCAAAGGAGATTCCAAACCAACATTTGCATTCGCAGCACTTGAAATCCTAAATCCCGATCTGCATTCAGATATGCATGTAGCTGTGCTCTGTGCGGTTCTCTTTCCCCAATGTCTTAAATATCTTAAACTTCAAGCAACGAATAGCCAATGAAAAAAAACCCAGGGCTTAAAACCCACTTTTAACCTGGGTTAGTAACTCCAGAGGCTGATTCTGCACTGCACATCTGCCTGCAAGATTTGTTTCGGATTGCCCAGTTCATGCTAATAATTAAGCATATCGCTTGCTTGCTTTTTACTCGGCCAGTTCCAAACTGATCCAGACTATTTAACAAATAACAAGAACCCCCCTCCCCCCAAAACAAACAAACCCCACATGGTCATTTCATCCTGGTCAGAGATTCTGTAATGTCACTGAATGTTTGTCCTATTTCTCCATGCAGCAACTTCTCTATTTGCTTTTCTTGCTTAATGACCGTCTCTTTTGTGTCAGGCCCCCGAGTTTCTCAACCTCGGCCACTTTTAAGCCGCCTGAAGCTGGGGGGGCCTCGGGGTTTTCTTGCACGGGGGGAGGGAGATTTTTTTTCTTGGGTCCCAAATTCTTGGGAATTTTGAACATCAGAGAGGCGAGGTGGGGAGTAACCGAAGGAGGGGGGCCTCCGAGGCCCATAAGAGCTTTTACATTGTTGCAAGGAAAGAATAACACGGTTTCCAGAAAATCGGATAAACAAAGGCCGGGCAGTGCAAGTGGAGTCATTGCCTCCGTCCCGTTCTTTGCTTTGCAGTCATCCCAGACCCCCCAGGAAAAAGCCCCCCGGCCTCGCTTCCGCTCCACAGACCCCTTGTTCATCCTGGAGTAGCGCAAGCGCAAGGCTGGCCTTCCTTAAGGCTCGGCTTGGGCTCTGCCCCGCTCCCGGACTTGCAAGGCAGGGACCCCCACCCCCCGCCCGGTCATTCCTCTTTAGAGCTCCTTGCGAAGAAGGCAAGCCTGTCTCTACCTTGCTATAATCCACATTATTGAGTCCTCCGCAGCAGTCCAAGGAGAAGGGCATGCAACCCCCTTAGGATCCGGCTTAGCAAGGCCTGGTTCCTCTGGAGTCCCTACCCGCCCCCAGACCAGCAACGCCCCCCTCCCTCCACCCCCTGGAAGCAACGTCCCTCGACAAAAAGCTGCTCTAACTTCCGGACTGCTCAGCTGGCCGAGAAAAAAAATGTCCCGCAAAGAAGGCTGGGAAATTGAGTCCGTTTCCCCCCCGTTGAACCGTTGCGCTCGGTGCGGAGTTTAGCAGGAACTACAACCCCCAGAAGGCTGCGCGAGGCAGGCTGTCCGAACCCGGGGGGGGGAGCACTCCCTTCTCGAAGCACCCCCTCCACTTGAAGGTTTGGAGTGGTTTTGCTTCCATTCCAGCTTCCTGCTCTGCGCCCGAAGCGTGAAGCCTTGCGCCCCAGCCCGTTTTGCCTGTACTGTATAAGCTGAAGTAGTTACTGGAAAACCCTTGCAATCAGATTTTCTCTGGTTATTTTTCACGCTTAGCTCTTCAGCCACGCTTAACTAGTGCTGTTTCGCAAGGTCACCTGCCTGACACGTGTATTTGGTAACTTGCAGGTACCGTTTCCTGTATCCACTAGGTTACAGCCGAAAACAGCGTCTGACCTGCACCACCCAGACATGTCCAGCTTACTGAAAAGCCGAATGGCTGCATTCATACAACCTTGATTGGCTAAAATGTTTGCTTGGTATTTTCAGGGTTTAGCATGTTGTACAAATCCAGACCTTTTGAACCCTAGTTTCTGATTGCAGGTAATCCTGACCCAGAAGATGAGTTAGTAACCTAGTTAAGGGGCAAACAGTGTCAAGGACTTGATGAATATCAGAGTCATTCAAGCTCTTTGAGAAAGCCTGAAAGGGTCCCTGGGTCCAGACATTCTGTTAAACCACTGCTTTAATTGGCTGAGCACCAACCCTGGTTTGCAAACACACAGCTCATGAAATGTGGAAGCTCAAACCACAGGGCAACATGGGATTCTTCATTAAATGCGTGAATCAGGTGGGTGAGACACATCCATGGCAATGTGGCAACCGTAAAACTTCCATTCCTGAATTCACCCACATTTCTGCCTTTCCACAAAATTCTGAGCCAGATTCCTCCAACTAAGCTACTTTTCTCCCCCTTCCTCAAAACCCAAAGTTAAAATTAACAACAGTTAGCTTTGGGACTGCACAGAGGAGAGAGACAAGAAAAACTGGCAACGTGAACTTTGAATCACCTCAGTTTCTATAACGTGGAAGAGCAAAAAAACAGAGTTGCTACGAAAACCGCTGGAGAAGTTAAGCCCCCCAAAAGGGTGTGAAGGAAAACAGAAATGGCAGCAGAAGAAAAGCGAGGGGGGGGGGCAAAGGAAATCTCACTGCTGGCACTGACCTTCCTAGGATTATTCTGTCGTGGGGATGTGGCAGCTCAGGAGGGAGAGAAAGGCCAGAGATTCAGTCCAGCTACTTCAAAGGCAGGATTGGACTTTGCCCCACAAACTTCCAAAGTGGGGAAACAGGCTGGTGCCTGGCACCTTTGCAGAGCCTTACCAGGCACTGGAGGGGCTGTGCCAATGGACGGTCTGGGGAAGAATGAGAGGGGGGCTTCTCTTGAGAGCTTGGCAGTTGCTAAAAAGGGAGCCGGGTGGACCTGTCAGCTTTCCACTGGACGTTCCTAGATCAGTTGCATTCTCTTGGCCAGGCTTAGCTCACCAGACCGTTGCAAAGATACATTGAAGGGCGGTCCTGGCTTTTGTTCCCTGGGGTGGGGTGGGGGGAAATGGGCACATTGCAAAAGCACTGAAATGCTGCAGAAGGAAGCAGCATAACAGACTGGCTCTTGCAGGTATCTTGTGTAGATCAAACCTGTTTCCCCCCCAAAAAAAAGCTTGCCTAAAGTTCAAAATGGACTTCTGCACAGGTCTACATAGGGACGTCCAGAGAATAGAATAGAATGGAATGGAATGGAATAATGGGAGTAGAGTAGAGTAGAGTAGAGTAGAGTAGAGTAGAGTAGAGTAGAGTAGAGTAGAGTAGAGTAGAGTAGAATAGAATAGAATAGAATAGAATAGAATAGAATAGAATAGAATAGAATAGAATAGAATAGATTAGAATAGAAGGAAACTTGGAGGTCTTCTAGTCCAACCTACTGCTCAAGAGGAAGCCCTAGACCAGGGGTAGGCAACCTTGGCTCTTTTATGACTCGTGGACTAGACCATTTCAGACAAATATCAACAAAGCAAGTCTGGAAGAGAGGCACCAACAAGCAGGAGACCATCTTCTTTGGTTACAAACCTGGGATTAGTACCCAGGAGGATCACAAAATTGGGTTGCTCGGAAGCACCTCGGTTCAGTTAGCTGTGGCTCACTTCTGGGTGTGCCCAGCCTGTGCCAGGCGAGTCCTCCTCCTCCAGCGCCACAGCTTCTCCAGTCGGTGGGCCGCAAGCTTGGGTGTGCAAGAGAGGCTTATTTTTAGCTTGCACCTGTTCCTCCATATAGACAGACGCTTGTTTAAAAATAGCCTCATTGATGCAGGCGGGAAGCTGTGCCGACAGTCTCCAGACAGCGCACGGTGCCTTCGGGCGCCCGGTTTAATTTATGCGCCATAAATCTACCCTGGACAGAAAGGTGCTTTGGGCCACAGCTGCTGAATCAGGCAAGATGGAGGCTCCTACTTGAAAGGGCAGCAGTTGGGGGGGGGGCAAAGAGAGGGGAGGATTTTTCAGCCTGCCTACCTGACCAAGGTGGAGGGAGGAGTAAGGAGGAGAGATTGTGCAAAGTGTCTTTAGTCTGGTTTCGAGCTACTTTGGGGGGAGGGGTGAGCTCAGCCAGCAGGACTGGCCTGGCAAGGTTTATAGCTGGAGCAAGAATCCAGCCGATTTCAGGCTTACTCCACAAACCACAGTTTAAGCAATCCAGGGTTGATAAGGTACATGAACCCAGAATGTGTGATTGTATAGAATAGAGAGTTCTTGATTTACCAGCACAATTGAGACCGGAATGTTGGTCGCTAGGTAATGTGGTCCTAAAATGAGTCATTGCATGACTGGACCCGATTTTATAACCGTTTTTTATCACAGTTGTTAAATGAATCACACACGCACACACACACCTAGACGATATGCACATGCCCATCAAATCCAATCTCTGCTTCTTTGCCTTAATCCTTCAGGAAGTGGCTTCGATCCTCTGCATGGCCTCCCCTGGCCAGCTCTGGAAGGAGGGCCCGCCTGGTTTTGCCTCTGACTTTTTGCCCTTTCCCTCCTCTCCTTTCCTGTCCTTTGGGGCTAAGGCCTCTGAACGTCCAGCCCCCTTTTTCCTCTGCTCCCCCCCCCTTGGATTCTGCTCCAAAGCCTAACCTCGGCTGCCCTCTAGCGCTCCACGAATATATTCCAGTCCAGAGCCTGAAGCACACCAGGGCAGGAATAACAAAATAACAGAGTTGGAAGGGACCATGGAGGTCTTCTAGTCCAACCCCCTGCTCAAGCAGGAGATATTATCCCATTCTGCACAAATGGCTGCCCAGCATCTTCTTGAAAATCTCCACTGATGGAGCACCCACGATTTCTGGAGGCAAGTCGTTCCACCGATTAATTGTTCTGACTGTCAGGAAATTTCTCCTTAATTCCAGGCTGCTCCTCTCCTTGATGAGTTTCCATCCATTGCTTCTTGTCCTGCCTTCAGGTGCTTTGGAGAATAGCTTGACTCCCTCTTCTTTGGGGCAACCCCTGAGATATTGGAATACTGCTATCATGTCCCCCCTCGTCCTTATTTTCATTAAACTAGAGATACCCAATTCCAGCAACCGTTCTTTATACGTTTTAGCCTCCAGCCCCCTAATCATCTTTGTTGCTCTAAGTTTGACTTCACCACCTCATATTGAGTCATTTGTGGTGAGGGCCAGCCCATCTATTAACTCAGCTGTGGGTCATCTTCGAACTGCTGAGACTATAACTCCCAGCACCCCCAAACTGCAAGGGCACCAGACTGGCAAAGCCAGGCTAAAGTTCTACTGACCCATTAACAGTTAACTCGGCAGCCTGCTTGCCTTCCTCCCCTCCCCCTCTAATCCATTAAGGCTCTTAAGTGACGGGCTAATAAAATGTAATTGTGCTTTAAAATAATTCAATACATTACACTAATTTATCCCAATTAAGCTGCAGCAACTTGGTACAGATCGACTTAATGCAGGAGTGGGCGACTCTCTGGGTTTGATTCCTCCCCCTATTTTTTCCGAATGATGACAGAGGGAGGGAGAAAGGGCCACGGCCCCCTTTTAATGGCCCCCTTAGCTATTATTCTTAAAGGAATCTAGGAGGCAGGAGGTCAACTGAGAAATCCAGAAATGAGATCTTTAGCTTTGGCCAAGAGCAGCTGCTCTGTTGGCTGGGGAATTCTGGGAGTTGACATCCACCAGTCTTAAAGTTGCCAAGGCTGGACACCCCTGTCCTAAAGGCAGGCTGTGGTTGGGCTCGTGTAGGGCGTCATCCCTGGCAGATGGGAGAAAGATCTCACCGGCTGGCTGGACTTGGCCTATCTGTGACGGCATAAAGCCCACGGCTTTGTGTGTTGCATGAATGTGAAACTTCATGGCTGTTCCTGTTTGGAGTAACGACCTCCTGTTCTCATTTCTTGCTCAGCAGACCTGATCCACGGCCTGCGGTGGAGAAAGTGTGCCGACACTGGCCGACGCGGGGCTCCTGGGGCCACGAAGCAGCCTCCAAGCACCTTCCCGGGCCTTGGCGTAGCGGCGTCCTGAGCATTCTTAAGCAGATGCAGCCCAAGGGATGCCCCTGCCTGTCTGGTTCTGAGGCCCCTCCATGCACAGCCTCTTTCTCAGCCCCATGGCCAGCTTTGGCTGCCCCCCCCCCCAGCTGCAGAGATGGGAGAGGAGATCCAGAGGAGACGTCGGCCTCTGCGGCTTGGTGCAAGAGAAGCCCTCCCTTTTCCTTGCTTCACTTATCAGCCGTGGCTTAGCCGAGCGACAGCATGGGGCGGAAAGTGTTTTATCTCCTTGGCCAAGCCACAGCATCCCTAAAGCGGTTCTGATTTGCTGTTACTATGGCAACACGGCTGGGTTTATCAGGGCTGAATTTGTAGCTGT